GTCACTAAAGCAACTATACCGATCTCCGGTCTGTCTACCCACGCTGTGTTTAGATCTTAGACAGACGGGACCAGCAGGATCGGGGCGATACAAGATTGAGTCCGACGGGGGTGGCAAAACACAAATAAAATAAAACTCACGACACCAAACAAAATTGCTGATAAAAAGGGTAACAACCTTTTATATCTTAAAGTCCGTTACATAAAAACAAAACTGTTCTCATTCCCGACCCGCTCTGTGGACTATGGCACCAAGCTTCTATCACACAATAGAAAAATGTGAATTACCTACTTTCTAGAATCATGTATGTATGTCGGGGTGTGGTTCAGTTCGACACTGGGGCTATGAATTTCTATCGATCATTTTGCAGTTGATTCTTCTCTCCGACTTGAGTTGTATTTCTTCTTCTTCGTCTGCTTGGGCTGGTAGTTTTCCTGTTTCAACTTGGTGGAAGATTTCTTGTTTCAACTTAGCCGCAACTCTCTGTCGTCTGAGGTGGTCTCTTCTCACTGCCGTCCGAGCTGAACTTTAACTTCTCATCGACTTTCGGCTTGTCTGCAGCTCCAATTCTTCTCAGGCTTTCAGGCAATCTTCTTCTTCGTCTACTTGGGCTGGAAGTTCTTCTTGTCTGAGGGTTCTTTTCTACGCTGCCGTCGGGGATGAACTGTAAGTCGACTTTAGGCTTGTCTGCATCTCAATTCTTCTCAGGCTTTCAGGCAATCTTCTTCTTCATCTACTTGGGCTGGAAGTTCTCCTGTCTTCGACTTGGGCTGGAAGTTCTCCGTCTTCGACTTGGGCTGGAAGGATTTCTTGTCTGAGGATTCTTCTGCCCCAAAGGGGCGTGAATCGGGCCTGATGGCGCGTTCAGGCTCTATCCCTGCCGGTCCAACTCTCAACTGCAACTCCAACTCAACTGATTTCTGTCGACTGGGGTCCTGCTTATATTGACGCCGCAACAAACTGGGGTGGGTCTGTCGGCGTCAGGGTTTTCTCGATAATTCCAAAAGCTGCATTAATTCTGTCTTCTCATTATCGCTATTGTTTTCGCCCCTACTTCCCCTCGCAGTACCTTTGGTGGGGCGGCGCACATCCATCTCTCTTAGTCTCTTGTATGTCAGGTGACCGCTTTTCAACCAATCGTTCCTGATCGAGCATTTCTTTCCTTTTCTTCCGCAGGTCACGTGATCAATGTATTCGTCCAATTGTTATTGATCAAACATTTCTTTCCCTTTTCTTCCGCAGGTCACGTGATTGTATTCGACCAATTGTTATTGATCGAACATCCTCTCCCCCTCTGTTTGCGGGCGTGGTTACATCGTTCTTGTTTAAAAAAAAACAAAATCAATTTGCCCTTTTTGCACGTACGCAAAATGACAATCTTTGGCTTTCTCTCACCTGGACTTTGTCAAACAGCCCGCTGCTAATTAGTCTTGACTTTAGAAAGGATCTTTTCCGCCTTCTTGGCGCCCTCTGTGAGCCAAAAGCAATTGTCCCTCTTTTTTACCTCTTTGTTTTACCTGATAGTCGAAAATCTTAATTATCTACATTGAAATGTCTCTACTTTATTAACGTGGGTGTCCAATTCTTAACAGGTCTGTATATCGTTCCACGGTCACTCCCCTCAACCCAAAGACACTTTTTCTCTGATTAAAAATTGTTTCATTGTCCCCAAAATTTCTCTTTATCCAAATTGATAAGGTGTCTTTCCATGCAAAAAGTAGGCTAGGTGCTCTGACCGACATTCTTACCAAAATGACTTTTCAAAAATCGGCCAAGACGCTGACCTAAATCTCTTTCTGACTCCTATCTCCACCCTCAATTGGGTCATCGTCATACATTTCTCTTTCTTTTTCTTTTTCTTCCCTTCCTTCCTTTTTCCTTTCTTTCCTTCTTCTTTCCTTAGGATCGTCTAGTACACTCTTAGTGAATTATTTTTCAACTCAGTTATTTTCCGTTTTTAAAAAAAATTAACAACCTGTTTAATAAACTGAGTAAGAAAAATTAAATCATATTTCTAGGAATATTTCTAATAATGCAAGGTGCCACAATTTTCACAAGTAATTAAATCTACTGAACCTGATTCTACCACAAAATAAAACTAGGTTTGAATCCTAAGCACAAATTCTGTATTCATACGAATTTCATTCATAATCATTGTGGAATGTAGGCAATGTATTGCACATCAAAACACCCCAATGAAAGTGTAAGGAACACATAAGATTTTGTTATTTCTAAAACAAGATAATAAAAATTTCAAGAAAAACAGAATTCCATATTAATCATCTTTGCAGTCAACAGAATTTTAGAAAATAATGGCTACCAGTGTTTATGGAAATAAGTGAATATCATCTTAAGATTTCAAAATACTTCAAAAGTGTGGTTAGTTTGGTTATAGTTTTTGCTTGTCGTGTCATGATATCAAAATGCAAATGATGTTATATACATCTTAGAAACACCAGATTGGCCTCCAATCAATTGCTGGAATGGATTTATTGTGATTTTTTGTCTGTAGCAGTTTCGTTGTATCAAAATCAATTAATCTGAAAGAGATTTATTGTAATATTACATGTGCAGCACTTATGTACAGAGTGTGGATGCAAAACTTGCAAAATTGCTGTAACCTTCAAAACTTGCTTAATATGCATTAATTAAGCCTACAAAATGATATTAATAAAATTCATAGACAATATCAAAATAATTTATTAAACATGGCTTCTATTATTTTGAATTATAGCCTCAACACAACCTCAAAAAGCTGTGAAACTTTTAATATCAAAGTCCTTTGACATCTTGACCCACTCCTCCTTGATAGAAGCCTTGAGGTTATTGATATTGGGATAGGAGGTTTTGTTAGTGGTCTATTCCAAAACACTTCACAGCAAATTTAATGTATTTTTATTTAGATTGGAGGAGAGCCAGAAATCCACTGGCAAAAATGAGAAAAGTTAGCTTCTTTAGCTGTGTGATTGAGTTCAGATCTAGTTGCCCTCAGAGTAGTTGGAAAAACATGGTACCTCAAGACTATATAAGAGATAGTAGCACCCATATTTTCTACAAACTTGTACAAAAATGTAGGCATTGTTTTTCAACACCCAAAAGTTGGGCTGCATGTTTGGTTCTGAAGGTGTCCTTAATTGTTTAAAACAACAACCACCATGAAGGTTTTCATATCAGAATATTTTAATAGTGGATTCATGATTCTTGCACTTTTTCACCCTCCTTGTTCTTCATGGACTAGATTTTTCAATAACAAAGTTAATGTATACAATCACTGATTCCTTTTCTCTATAGTGTTGAATATCTGACCCACTATTTGACGACAAATTGAAAGCTAAGACTACTAGCGAGATGTTAAAAAGAGAATACTAATAAAGGAACATAATATTTCTGTTCATGTTACATTGGTGAGGCCTTAACAGAACCCCTCAGATGAATTAACAGACATGGTTTTAGTGTAGTGAATAGAAAAACTGTGCCTTTAACACTAGTGTGTGTTGCTATAGTGAAAGAGTTGCTTAAGTCAAATAATGAGAAATCATTAACAAAATGGACATCTCAGTGAAATAAACATTGTACTTGAGAGTTTGCCTTTCTGTATTATGGGTAGCTGTTTAAGTTGGTGCTAAAGTGCATTGCCAAAATGGAATATTAGAAGTGAGTGATATCATGCACAGGCTGGGAATAAATATCACCCATTTTAGTAGTGGGCATTATTGACATTTATAGACTGTGATCAAACACTTTTGAGTTTGGCAGTCATTGTTCCAGCATAATTCTGCAAATTAATTTTGGTTTTTATTCTACAATAAAGACCTGCCAGCTGAAAAAGTCTTGCAAATAATGACAATGCATTTGGCAGCAAGAGGTTTTATGTATAAGTGGTGAATCCTGTTACATTTCTGGTGTGTACATATGTATATTAGGAAATGGAACAATGAAGAGGTACCACTGGAATATTAAGAAAATTGCATTCCAGGAAGCAAGGCTCTATAACTAAAATAGTATATCAGTATAATATAACGATGAAGCTTTTGTCTCAACTGTACCTACTAGTGAAATCGACATTTAAGAAGTTTAGTAAATGGTACTGACACAATGCTTTTGTTAGAATCTGAGGTGAAGCATTATACATACAAGATGGGAGATCTGGGTGAAAATTAAAACCACTGCAGAATTGGATTCACTAGAATTATTAGATTGTCAGTGATGTTGGTGTAATCCCACAAGTTAAGGATATTTAATCTTCTTCAAATTCAATGCACTGGAAAACATTGATGATCCATCTTCTGTAAGTGTAGATGACATTTATTGGATCTAATATAATTTTATAAAACTCCAGAAGTGGCTGATGAGCATGATGGGATGGAGGAAGCACTCTCAGTTGAGGAGATAATTATTTTACAAATTGCAGGAACTATGTTGTGGCCTATATACTTCTTTGAAGTGGCTTGTGTGACTGTATATGCTTTTGATCTGTTAATTCTCCACAAATTTGTCACTGATATTTGCTAGGTTGGTCAACAGACTGTCTTCTGCCAATAGTGTCAGTATTTGTGCCAATATGTTCAGAAGTTTGTTGAGCCAAAGCAAGTGATTCCAGTAAATCAAACATGATGTAAAAGTGAGGTGGTGTGCCATTGCATAATATTTGGTGAGATTCAAACTCACATCTTTTTGTAAACATGAGAGTTGCAGTAGAAAGCAAATGAAATTAAGATGAAAGAAATACTGGTTGGAAAATTGATAATAATTGAAGAAAATAAGGAAAAATCTTTTAAAAGATAAGGTATTATTTATTCTTTCTGATTCATATAAAAGATATTAATTTGAATGCTATCATCCTTATTTTGTTTTATAATTATAAACATTTAATCCTAATTTAAGTTAGACATTAAAATGCCAAAAATAAATAAAAACAGAATAATGTATAAAAATAGGTTTTTGTTTTAATTAGAAAAAAAGCATTAATATATAAGATAATGTTAACCAAAGTAACTTACCATGAAGATCATCATGCAACCAATTTTTAGAATGCATTACTGAAGATGCTTCTAAAAGTCCTTGAAGAACATAAAGAGAGAAATGACGCAGCAGCTCATGATTTTCTCTCATTTTCAGCATGTGGTTATCTATTATGTCAGATATAGTGACAGCTAAAAAAAAAACAAAAGATAAAATATATTAAGTATTAATATTCTCACATAAACAAAAAAATTGAAATTTATTTTTGGATTATTTTGACTTTTTAAGGTCATTTTGATTACATCACATTTCAAATGTTTTTTATGTAATTATTGAGAAGTGAGTGATATCATGCACAGGCTGGGAATAAATATCACCCATTTTAGTAGTGGGCATTATTGACATTCAAATTTTATTTCATTTTTTATCTCTTAACATTGTGTTTAAAGAAAATGAAAATAAAAAAGATTAACTGTTGACTTGAATTGTACTTTTAAAGGGTTGGTTTTACAAAGTTGACCTAGAATTCTTATATTATTATAAACTTTAATTAAATTATTAATGTTTTCTACTCAGTTATATGAAAACTGATTAAAAGTTTCTAAGCATTTTATAAGTGAAAAATTATCAATAACTTATTCTCTCAACTGTATTGTGCAATTATTGCATTTTTACCAAATTCAATTTTTAACTTTTTAAGAAAAACAACATTATTTTGAATATTTCTTTACTTCAAACATAGTTTGTGGTAGCAACTTGTAGGTTTAATTACTCAAATTGTTTTAACTCTGAATAAATATAGTTCTTCTTTCTTCTAAAATAATCTGAAATAACTTTTTTTATATTGTATATAACTGTAAGTAGTATATGTGCATATGTACAAAGAAAAGTCCTCATTGAAAGGCTGAAGTAGAAAAATACAGATCTAATATGAAGAATAATGTATACATACATGATATTGAATATCTTAGACTTCATATTATTTAATCTATTAAATTATTTAATCTATTAAATTATTTAATCTATTAAATTCAGCAGAAATCCCTGCCATCTATAATTAATGGGCTAAATTCAAGATTTTAAGTATTAATGAAATCAAGTTGTACTTACCTTTATCAAGAATTTCATAGTGAAATTCAATCTGTCCATTCTGTTTATTAAACATATAAAGGGAAGGAAAATTATTATAACCTTCCAAATCTGTCCAACACCGGATTTCATTTGAATCAAAGTAGGCAAGCATTACCTGAAAGATAAAAGAAAAACTGTATTTACTTTATTGAGGTGGTGGTGTGGTGCGTGACTAGATATACATGTACCCAGCTGTAAGGGCATTTATTTTCAGCTGAATTTTTTATTATATAGAAAAAACTATATTGTTTGGTTATCAGTATAACCATCCTAATTGGACAACTCTTTGTAAATCGAATAATGGAAGTTGATTCTCTTTTTCTTTCTTTTTTTTTTCTACTTATTTTTATTGAGGGTCAAAAGGTTTTGATCATATATAAATAATACTGGAAGTGAATATAATTATTGCTACTTTTCATATTTTATCCAAAGCAAGGAATAATAATGGTGATCTGAGTCTAAATAGCAATACACATAGCAGATGTTTGTGTTTTTTAAATTGTAAATTTAAAGAGTTTGTTTCAAAATGGTTACATTCAAATATGTTTTTAGAATTGTACAATTCAAAATCACTGTCTATAGAAGTATTTCTATTCAAGCTAAGCCCCTTGTAGTTTTGTAAATTAATTTTTTTTTAAATTTGAAAAGTAAAATCTCTTTGATTAGTTAAAAATTGATTAAATGGAATAAATAAAGTATTATTTACTAAATGATACTGAACAATAATTTAGTTCAAATAAGAATTAATAACTTTTTTTATAGAATGAATTTTTAATCAAAGAAAAGAGACATTAAACAAAATTATTTTGAAGTGGGCAGTTAGATGGAAATACCCATTTAACCAGTCATTAATAAAACTTTATTTTTGCTTTCAATTAAATATTGGACAAAGTTCATTTCATGAAAATTTGAACAATGTTTTCCTCATTTTCATTTCAAGGAAGATAATTTCACTTGGTATTGATAAAATAAAATAAAAGAACTCCTGTTTAACCACAAAACCGTTTAAAACATTTTCAAGAAATGATTTGAAAAACACAAATATGAAAATTTCAAGAAAAATCTATGATTGGAAATAAAAATGACTAATTTTTTTGACACTTTGATAAATAAAAAATATATTTTGTGCCCTCTACAATGGCTACAAAATGTAGCTTACTGTGGATATAGAAAAGAGAAATTGATAAAGACAGTAAACACTTTGGTGGTGAAAAAGAGAGGTTGCTATTTTCATACGACAAAGGTTTTCCAGAATTTTTAACTCATTTGATGGTTGGTTGTCTCTGGTAATTTTCTTCTGAAATTTGTTAGTCAACAGCAATAAACAGACTAATTATTATTATCAGTTTTATCACTGACTATACAACTGTAAATGCATTTTCAGTTATCAAAACTTTATATATATATATATATAACAGATTTATGACTCCTGCCATGGTGCATGATAGACCTTTGAGATAGCTTGGGGCTGTGAGAGAGTTGAAATCAATCAATGAGAAAAAACAAATGCAAAATATTGATTAATGATTGGTGATTAAGCATTGAAAGCACAGTTAGAAAATATTAAAATTAAAGCTATAAAATACTCTGGGTAGGTAAAGATCCAGAAAGATTGAACCCCAGGTAACTTTGGTAAAATAGAAATTTGCTTACATTTATGTCAAATTTATATTATGTCATGTCAGGGGTAATGTGATGACAAGATTTATGAATACTCGAGGAAATGAATTGCAGTAGTCCTGATTTCACACATTACGGGAAGCAAAATTGAGGGCATAAAAAACTGTTAGCCACTCAAGGTAATAAACAATGCACACACACACACACATACAAATTATTTTATATAGCAGAAAAGAATAGTATAGAAAAGAAACGGGTTACAGAAAAGAAAATAATTGATGTAAAAACTCATACACTGCATTCTAGACAGAGAGAGAGTGGGTTGTGATTAGCTTGTTGTGTAATTGTCTCAGAACGATATGCATATCTTGATTATTGTAGCTTGTTTGACATTTCCGTTTCCAGTGGTAGTAATAATAGTAGCAGTAGTAGTAATCTTTGTGGTAGCAATAATAGTAGCAGTAGTAGTCTTAGACGTTGGAGGAGTAATTCACTTCTTCGTACTTATATCAACAAAATATATTAGCGGGCGTTTGGTTCCAATTCTCTGACGTCACTCTCAATCTCCGACCTCTGTCTCCAGCTCAACTGCACTCGACGGCAGACCAGCCAACCACTCTGTCAACAGATTGTCAACAGCGTGTTTATATAGATAAGCCTGGCTGATCACAAATCAACCCTTGGTCCACACATGATTATCACAAGTGTCGCTGTCAACCCAAAACCATGTGAGTTTCAAAGTTCTCATAGCCTGAGTAAGCTCTATTTCAATTTTAACCAACAAAAGTTATTTCGAACATTTTTCATTGTCTTTTCTAATGACCCAATTCCAAATGGGCAAGATCAGGTTTCCCGCAGTAAACAAAATTGGTCTGATCTAATTTTGCTGTTCAAATCTACTCCAATTTCAATAAAATATATATGTGTGTTTGTGTGGGTGCTTGTGTGTTTCCCAAACTCTTTCTGTCACACATGGACTCAGGGGTAAAAGCTTCCATGTAATAACATAAATTCATGAAAAAAAATTGGATGGGATATCATATTAAGTTGAGACACCATTTCTCAAACTTTTTACCTTTGTGGAACCCTCAAAATAAAATATAAAAAGAGACAGTTATTAATAATGGTATATAATAATTTTTATGCAGGGATTTTCCGAAACATGAAAACTATCTCTTTTATATTTTATTATAAGAACTAAGGATTTTCCAACAATATGCAATATGTGCATAATAAAATTACAGAAAAATTACTCAAAAGTGCATTAGCCTATTTATCAGAGTTTCTCTCAGAAACCCTTGTTACCTCTTGCAGAACTCTAGGATTCTGGGGAACACTGGTTCAGAAACAGTAGTTGCTGTAACAGAAGAACCAAGTTTTGTCAAGACCAATCTTACAGCCCATTTGATACCAATACTGTAAAGGCTGTGAAACATCTCAGGAGTACAGAATATTTGTACTTTGAATTAAAGAGCTTAAGTAATTTGTTTTGTTAAAATGTTTGTAAAACATTTGACAGACTTATTTTTTGTTTCTGCAATATTGATTTTATGTAACAATGAAAACTATTTTCTTTAAACTGATTCATATATCTTGAAAATAAAATGAATTCTCTGTATATTGTAAGTGACAAAAGTAAACAAGTTTGATTCAAAGTGATTCATCTTATTTACAGCTAATTATTTTAACAGGACCTAAACAAATTTTTTCCTGTTTCTAAAAAAGAAAATGTTAAATGACTTCTCTGGTCATGGGTTTAAATCATCAAGACTCCCAAGACTCAGAAAATATTTTTGAGATTAGTTTCTATTATAAGTTGCATAAAGAGGTGCTGACTAAGGATATATGATATTTCGTCTGATTTTGGGAAGTGAGTGAAGCCAAGAACTTTTTAGAACCCACTCATTATATATATTTTACATGACATATGATTTTAGGATTGCAGTTTAAATTTAGAATATAAATAAATATATATAGTAAATTTTGATATGAGAAAATTTTGTTTACTGTCCAATCAATATTCTAAATAAAACAAAAAGTGGAAAAGGAACAATTAAAAATTTTGTATGTCTTACCGTTTTTAGTGCATGTTCTGATCCCAGTTTTTTATCACGAACAACTACAATTTGACCATTTAATCCTTTTCCCAATATCTTGTCCAATACATCATAATCTTCTCCATTTTTGTAAGTACCTTTACGGCTACAGGATATCTAAAATAAAAAGCAAAACCCAAAGAAATTTTTGGATAAGTATAAAACAATGAAATTAGTGCCCATGTTTTCTTTGAATTTATTAATTACTGCTTTTGTGAGATAGAGAAAAAAATTTTTTTTAATCTATTTGAAATGTCAAGCATACCTCTGTTACTGATCTGCTTTAAAAGAACTTGTGGCTGTCTCATTATTTTTTTTTAATGTTTGTGCAATGTGATATTTAAAAATATCACTGTAGTACAGGTACTTTCATGAGATTGCTAAAAAAGATATAGCATGATGAAAAAACTTGACAAAACAAAATTTTATAGTCTAAATGTTTATGTTATTATTAAGAGGGAAGATCAAAGTATTTTGGGGGTATTTTTTTACATTTTTTAATCGTTCCTAGCACATCCAAAATTTTTGTTAAAAATCTTCTTTTTTTTTTTTTGAGTCAGCAAAATTGACAGATAATCATGTCAACCATTTTTCTCCATTTTATAAAATAAATGAAAATCTCAGTTTGAAATTCTTTTAAAAAATCAATTATAATTTTTTCAAAACTTATTTTAAGAAAATCAGAAATTATAATGTTTATTTGAAATATTTTGAAACAAGCATTATTTAGTTTCTGCACCGAAAAGATGTAGTTTGAAAATAAAACAAAGCAGGTCATAACATTTCGCGTCATTTGTCAGGTGATGAATGACGTATTGACAGATTACGTGAGGATAATTTATTCTACGGAAGGAGAGAAGTGAAATTATTTAGATTTAAGTGAACAAATTATTTACCTCATTATTTTTAAGGAAAACTTTCAGTGCTCTAATTTTTTTTATTTCTTTTTGTACTTAATTTTCACCTTTACATTTACGATGCTTTATGGAAAATATATTATAAAGAAATTAATTTAAGACTGTTAAGAGTGAGATTAAATTTCATAAGAAAGGTATCTAATTAATTTATAGGTATCTTTCATATGAAGTTTTATCAGAAGTGTGCATAAAATACTATAATTTTATGTACATTTATTACATTTTACTGTGTTATTTGTATTTCCATTCATTTTATTATTAATTTTGATATTTTATTTATGGAAAAATACCATAACTGAGATTAATATAAAAATAAGATCATATAAATTTCATAAGATGATACTGATACTTGTAGGTACCCTTCTCAGTTGAAATTGAAAAATCAAATTAACTTCTCCACATGTGTTTCACAAAAGTAAAGCGGAGAACAATGCTTAACTCAAATAATGCAACTTAATTGTATTCTGGTTGGTCTTCCGTACGTTATAATTACAGCCCGATTATAAATGGAAAATTACATTTCTTAATTACTGCGGGTCTTCTGATTAGTCAAAATGATACAATTTACAATGTGCTAAAAAAAGATCTATCACAAAAGGACATTTACGAAACTGAATGCAGCTTTTAACTAATTTTATATTTTAACAACTTAAATGTAAAAATCTATTATAATTAAAGAAATAACAAATAATTGTATTAAAAATTCATTTTTCATTGAAAAAATTTTTTGCTTTCAGAAAATATTGTACATATTCATAAAAACAACTAAAAGCAAAAAAAAGCATTTGAAATTAAATATTATCTTTGTTTTATTGAGTTTTGCATGTTACAATTCAGAGCTGATTTTCAGGTAGGGGGTGTCCAATTAAAAAAAAAAAAAAATACATGATTTGCTTTCCTCAAAGCCTTGTGCTTTTAACTAATATAATCACTAAACTGAATGCGACTGAATTTCTAGAGTTTTCATAAAATTAGTTATGGTGGGGGTAATAAATATTAAAAAAAAAAATTTTTTCCATGATTTTAATAGAAGAAAACATATAATAATTTCCATCATTTGTGAATAGTTTCTGAAAGTTTCATTAATATCTAACAATTATTGTTATTTTTGCAAGATTTTTTCAAATCTGTCATACAAAAAAAAAGAAAAAGGGCAGTGTCTGTTTCAGAGTGGACTCTTTTTAGGTGCTAATTCCTTGTCAGAACTAAAGTCATGTTGGTCCATTTTTTCTGGTAGGAATTCCATGATACAGTATCTTTTTCCCCATCTAAGTGATGAATGAATGCGTAATGCAGGTTTGCCTGTATTAATTTGACTTTGTTTACTAGTGGGTCATTTTTACTATGTTGAATGTGACATCTCAGGACTGTACTAGATTGAGATGGGAGTGAGGTTACATGTGAAGTTCTCTGTTGGAAAGGTAGAAACTTTTTATATTATGTTGTTTGTTGCAGTGCACAACAGGGTTTGAACAGTATTCAGAGATTCTGGGGGGAGGTTTTCCCAGTTAGTGATCAGGCACTTTTGATTAACATACGCCAACTGAATGGTTTTCCAAATAATGCCATTGTATTTTTTGTACTGCTTATTGCCTTGGGAGTTATATGGCATAATTTGACTTACAGCCACCTTGTCCATGGAGAAATTGCCTAAAGTTGTTCTGACATGATGTCCTAGGTCTGAATGGACATATGCTAGAATTCCAAAATGTGCAAACATGGAGCACAGACATTTTGTTATCGAGTTTGGCAAAGATATGCAAATGGGAATCGTGACTATTCATCAATTATACTAAGCTGGTATCTGCTTCTGGTTTTCGATTCTGCGAGAACTTTGAAGTCCACATTTAGCCTTCTGAAAGGTTAAGTGGATTTTATAAGGACTCCCAGTGTTGGCTTGTGTTCAGCATAATGTTGTAATCTTCTTGATCTCTTCAACAGAGTAAGGCAAATTTTAGCTTTATGTGCTTCATTCTAGTTATGCCTAGGTGGCATAGTTTATTATGTAGGGAACAGATCATTAGAACTTAACATAGTGCTACTCTCAGTAATGTGTCTAACACAGCATTTTCTTTGCCAGAATGGGGTATATAATATTGAGGGAGAAACAAGAGAGCTCAATCTTCATTTGTTCTATTTTTCAAGTTTTTAATATTACTTCTTGACTTAGAATCAAACATAAATGCAACTTAACAATTTATTATTGACTTTGTGAATAGGCTCTTTGATAACTTTGGTGGTTGTACAGTGTACAGCAGAAATATCTCCCAAATAATGGTAAGACACCATTGCCACTAATATCTTGTCATTATGTGGGAGGTATTTCTGCCACATCCTATATATATATATATATATATATATATATATATATATATATAAAAAAGAGAGAAAGTCATTGCTTTATTTCTATTGATTACCTAATTTTTTGTGGCATACTTGAAATCATCAATTAGAAGATAAATCTAGCTTTTTAACTATCCACCAAAATATTGCACATATGTGCAGCTAGCACCTATAATGATATATCTGTTGTCGTGCATGCATAATTAAATAACTGCATTTATTGCCTATAATTAATAACTTATTTTTAAATTCAAATGCTACTTTTTTTTCAAGATCTATTATTAAAATGAAAATTATTAAGTCTTGAAAATATTATACATTTTTTTTTTCCCCTGAATTATTTCTTTTAGGCAACAACAGAAAAAAAGATCTTGAAATTAATTTAATTAGGCCATATAGCTGATATGTATGCAAATATGCACTGAAACAAACCTTTGTACGATCCAATAAGACACCATCTGGTGCCCTTTTTTCTTTTATCAAGTCTAGTACTGCCAAGCAGCTTTCAATAACTTCTTTTGGATTAGATTTTGGAGCCACTATTTTACCACATTGACTAACATCAAATTTCTGGTTTTCACTGAAATGAAAGGAAAAACATTAAATAAAGACAGGATATAATTTTAGTATTATAAAAGGTCATTTTTAAAGATATTATGAAAATGATAATAAGATCATCTTTAAAATGGACATTTTTATTTATTTTGAGAATATATTTGTAACTTAAAAGGCTTGTTTACTTTATTAAATAAACTAATAGATCCTTTTCTTTTTTATTTTTGACAGTACCTTTATTGAACAAGATATTTATTATCTTCTGTCTTACATGTAAAATTATAATTGCATCTTGCCAACAACTTTTTACCTTTCTTAGCAAGAACTGCTTTAGGGGCTTTTTTCAGTCTTTTTTCATAGAAAGGAAATAATTTTTTCATTAAGACAATTTTTTAATGTTCAGGATAAATGTTAATCAGAAGGTATAATATCTTTACAGTGAATGGGTGAAAACTTCCCAACCAAGTTATAACAAATTTTTTGCTTGGTTACTAAAGAAACACGCAGTCTAGCAATATCCTGAATGAATATTACATATTTTCTTTTAAGACATTTATTTTCTTGATTGTTGCTTTTTAATTAGTCTATCAGGGAGCAATGTTTGTTTCAATCATTTGGTTCATTGAAGTCTTACCTTGTACTGTGGTTAGCCCAGATAAAAAAATAAATAAAATACATAAACAAAAAAAAAGGAAAGAATTAAAATTAAAATAACACATTTGCTTTCCTTTAAAACCCATATCTCTTTTTCTCTCTCTCTCTTTCTACCTTTTTCTCTCAACTAATGAGAAGGCAACCCTCAAATAAAAAAAAGGAAGAAAAAACTGAACACAAGTAGTCTGGAGCCCTTTCTTAAGGGATATAAGCAGAGAGAAAGAGAGAGAAGGGACCAAACCACCAGAGAAATCAGCCAAGCATGTTGTGTGAAGAAACTAAGTGGGCCAAGAATACACTGCAAATAATGCTGCACCTATTTCCAAAGTAATCATACTCAGACAAAAAAGATGACAATTACTACTAAAGGATAACTATCAACTATCAGATACCCCAAATCACAAAGGACTCATTTCAATCAAAGTAAAATATTTAAATATATATTATTTTTTTTATACCTTTGATTCTGTTCATTTATTTCTGAAGTTTCTGATAAATATTGCTAAGAATCTCTGGCATTTTCTCTACAATATGTATAAATATTAATTTCTTTGGACAATGACCAGCCTTTGATAGGGATGGTCCATTTCACTTGGCCCATGAGCTCTTTGCATTTCATGTTGTTGTCAAATATTCTTTTGTTTCTACAAATTATTCAAGAAATTACACATTGAAATGGCAGGTTGTTTTTGTTTATATGAAACCATAAATCAAAGTCAGTAACATAACTAAAGCTGTTTTTTTCTTTGATTCTGTACTCTAAAGATTTGCAAATTTGTGTTTAATTGACAGGTTTATAAATATTTTCTATTCTTCCAAATTAAAATTTTAGAAATGTTGACAACTGTCTTACATAATTCATCATGTGCCAGGATCTGGGTTCAAACACTTAATATAGCATCTTCTACTAATAAAAGTATATTTTTCTTTATCAATTCTGGCTATAAACAGAAATCAAATCAATACCATTAAGTCAATTAAGAATAATCTTTTATCAATGAAGCATCTTAATTTCATCCTTATTTGCCATAAAACCAAGTGGAACATTTTGCTTAGGATCTCAATAAAAGTCATTTTAATTTCAGTTAATTTCTGTTCTTTCTTACATATTACTATATGTAAATTAGGTACTGTATAAAAGGCAGTATTGCCATACCTAAGGAAGAGTTATCTTCTCTTGATGAGACTACATCTGTCAGAGAGAATACCTATCATAACAATATGGTGTCACCAATTGGTTACTTAGCTATGATGGAGGATCTTGAATATGTGTAAACCTGGCTGAGGTGTTTCACAATGTTGGTGAGAGTTAAAAAGTTAAAAGACACCAAAGCTATAAAATATCTCCATCATAGTCTATCCCAAAGTGTTGGAAAATTTAGCATATGAAGAAATTGCTGCCATCATAAAAGCAAATATACAACAGAAAAAAGATAGTTCATAGTGGAAAGAACTAAATTTCTCAAAAGTAGACAGAGACTGGATGAAAGTACTATGAATGAAGAATCAAGATATTGTGAGTTTGAAAGAATGGGTTTGGAACAAATGTCTCTTGAAGACAGGAGAGTTGTGTTAAGACATCTCATACAAGCATAAAATTTTAGAGAAGCTTCAAGCTCATAATATGCATCTGAAAGCATGTGTGGTGTTCTTAAAACAATTGAAAATGATTAAAACTTTAATGCCTCTGAAGGCAGCATGAAGACTTACAGTCCTACTAAAAGCTAACTTATATGCAGATATTGCAATAAAGAACATGAAAAGAGTAAAAACTTCTGGCATTTGGGAAATGGTGTTTTAAGTGTAAAAAGAGGAATCATTTCCAGACGGTATGCACATATGAAAAGTGAGTGGGAAATATAGGTCCTCCGATTGAAAGTATGGAAGTATTTGAAATAACAGAATAAAAGTAAGGAAATAGTGAAGTTGAAGAGAGTAACTTTACTCATGCAAGTGGATACTGGAAGTGATGTTATGTTGATACTGAAGAATTTTTGGGAGAGAATGAGGAGACCAAATTTAAAGAAAAGTAATATCCTGTTGAAACAGTTCAATAAGTCAATCACCAAAATTTTAGGATGCTTTGAAGGCACAATTGAGACAAAAATAGATTCTGCCATGAAGTCAGTAGAACCAGATATTGGATTATGAAGGGGATATGTGGTGAGTATTTGGCTTAAAGAAAGCAGTCAACCCATATATTTTTGAGCCTAAAAAGTTCCTGTTCACATACTACCCTTGGTGGTTGCTAAGCTGAACAATATGATGGAACAAGGAATATTAGAAAAAGTCAGCCAGGGTGGTAGCAATTAGGCTTCTCCCATTGTGGTGATATGCAAGCCCAATGGGGATTTAAGAATTTGTGGTGATTATAAGGTAGGTGTGAATCACCAGATCTGTTTGGATTCATTCCTGTTGCCAAACATTGAAACAGTATGCCATGAATTTTTTGGTATGAAATATTTTGCTAAAGCTGACCTTAAGTCAGCATATAATCGGAAAAAAATTGATAGTAAGTTTCAAGAAGTCACCACAATGAACACCTCTACTGGATTACTAAGAGGGACTTGCCTGCCATTTGGAGTAAAAAATATCAAGTCACATTTTCCAAAAAGCCATTGAAAAAGTCTTAGAGTGGATTAAAAATATAATTGTATATCAGGACAACATTGGCATTAGTGTGCACAGTAAAGAAGAGCTCAAAAGTAAAATGGAGCAAGTGTTGAGAAAATTAACTAGTGTGGGTATGGCAATTGCGATAAATGTGAGTTTAATTGTAAAAAAAAATTTGCACCAAGAGTATCAAATATCCAAAGATGGCATATTGCCAGATGATGAACTCATTAATAAGATATCAGAGATAGCTGCACCGAGGAATAAAAAAGAGTTAGAGTCCTTTTTAGGATTAACCAATTTCTATAACATAACTGCTGTAATATAGTGACCTTGTGGAGCCATTTAATGAAATAAGTAAGAATAATAATACTGAGTTTCAATGGATGAATTATTTGAATATTGAGAAGGAGGCATTGGCACTTGGGTGGAGCATGGAAAGAGCTAGGAATTTTTTGCTGGGAAGAAAATTTCTATTAAAATCTGATCATAAGCCTTTGGAATTTATATTCAACCCCAGAAGAATGTTGCCAATGGTCGCATCTGCCAGGATATTAAGATGGGCAATTAAGCATATGGCATTTGACTTTGACATTGTATATATATTAAAGGAAATACTATTCTGCATGTGGATGCATTATCTTGGTTAAATTTTGAAAGTAAAAATGTTGAAGTAAATGAAAATTGTAAGGATCGGATTTTGCACTTGATAGAAACAGACATATTACACTTATATCAGCTTAGCTTGGGAACTAGGCAGGATCCAGTGTTGAATAGATTTATAGAGAGAATAAAGAGAAATACATATATATATAACATGGTAATATTTTATCTATTTTTTCAAAAATGTATTGCTGGTAATATTTATTTATTTTTTCAAAAATGTATTGCTGGTAATATTTTGTTTTTTTTTCAAAAATGTATTAATGGTAATGTTTTATTTTTTTCAAAAATGTATTAAATGGTAATGTTTTATTTTTTTCAAAAATGTATTAAATGGTAATGTTTTATTTTTTTTCAAAAATGTATTAAATGGTAATGTTTTATTTTTTTTCAAAAATGTATTAAATGGTAATGTTTTATTTTTTTCAAAAATGTATTAATGGTAATGTTTTATTTTTTTCAAAAATGTATTGCTGGGAATAATTTTTTTTACAAAGTATTTATGGTATTAAAACCTATTTTTATACTTTCATAATGTTTTGACCTCAGTTTGGGGTTTAATTCTTTGCCTATAGCTGGGACCCTAGCAGGTTCTACCACCCTGGGTCAGGGTGGACCTGGGAACACCAGCAATTAAGAGGTGGTTCCACACTCCTCAAAAACTCCTGATCAGAGGCCTAACAAAAGAAGTAATTAAAGCCATACACAATGATATAGATGGCAGTATATTGGCTACGAAAATGAGGTTAAATTTGCAAGCATAGTAGGCAGGCTATTCGAGAGATGTGTATGTTAAGAAATGCACAAAATGTGTAGAAATAAAGACATTTAGGCAAACTAAAATTCAGTCTTGGTCAAAGGAAATGGAACTGTGGATATGAGTACATATGGATCATACATACATTAAAGGTATCAGATTATTTCTGATATTAGTCGACTCATATTCAGGTTGGCCTGAAGTTATTTAAGTCATGGATAGAAAAGCCACTACTGTGAAGTGGGTGTTGAGAATAGTGTTTTTGAGAAATGGAGTTTCTAAAACCTTGGTCTGCGACAATGCAACTGAGTTTTGTGAAGAAAGTTAATGTGCCTGGT